CCCCCCCCCCCCCCCCCCAGTGCTGCACTCTTTGTGGAAGCTTCCTTTCTTCGTGTGCTAGGAACCACTGCTGGCCACAGCTAAGCTTTGTGGACTGAAGGCCAAACAGGTTCTGACTTGCTCCTCAAACCTTTCAGCTGTGTGCCCTGGTTGATGAGCATCCAAGTTGAGGAACTCTCTCAAAGGCATCAAAGAATAGAGGAAACAGTCAAAACTAATCTATGCCGAGAAGGTCTAAGGGAACCCAACAGTTTCAGAGCCTGCCTAGCAGTGGATCACCCTGGGGGAAAGAAGGATGGGTTAAGTGTTTCGTTCTTGCTGACATCAGACCTCACATAGCAAGGAGGCATCTTTAGAGTCTAGACAATCTGCCAACCATAGGCTAAGGACAGTATCATCTCCCCAGTAATCGCAGGTTCCCAAATTATCACATGGAGGGTCACTGACCATTGGCCCTTCCTCACATGAGTTCCCTGCTGCCTAAACTTTTTGGCATTTGAATTCCATTCTTTTCTCTGTGGTATAATGCCTCCAGGCACTCTGACTTGTGATTGTCCCTTGTTTTTTGGTCTCCAGAGTAGTTCAGTAGGTTCCCTCTCAAGATTGTGGTGCAATGTAGGGTGTAGATTTTTTTTTTTCTCCAGTGCTGGTCCTGCCACACAGGAGGAGTTATTATCCTGCCTAAGTCCCTTACCAGACTTAAAACTTGGGAGGATCGTAGGCTTATCCTCTTTTCAGCAGGATAGCCTGCCTGGCCATCTTTGTGGATGTAGCTTCTACTTCCTCTCCTGGGAGGGATGTGCTAGAGCTGAAATCTGTTTATTCCTGTTGCTTATGCAGCCTTTTTGTGTCTCCAACACCACAGCTACTCATCTTTCTTAATTCCCAATGTTTTGTCTCTTCCTCTTTTCAGAACAAAATCTCATCATTTACAGAGTCACATGTAGGTTGCTTTAAGAACTCTGCCTTTCTTTTTCTTTCTTTGTATATTTTAAGCAGGCTTTCTCTGGGTAGCCCTGGCTGTCCTGGAACTTTCTTTGTAGACCAGGCTGACCTCAAACTCAAAGGATTCACCTGCCTCTCTCTCAAGTGCTGGAATGAAAAGTGTTTACTATCATACCAGGCCAGAACTCTGCCATTTTTAATCCATTATGTTTTGAATAGAACTTTTATCTAAAAGTAAATCGTGTATTGCTGATTAAAAAAATTTTGGTTCACTAACTTAGATAGATGTACAGAGATTTACTGAGTTAGATAGATATACAGAAGGCTGATGTGCTACATTGTATGTCAGTCTCAATAACAACTGACCCTAAGCTTATCTGTGAAACATAGACATTTCCCAGAAGTTTTTGCTTGATTTTGTTGCTAGCAGTAAATACATGAATTTTTTTCTTGATAAATCAATCAAGCTCACTTTTTATTGAATATCAAAATCAGTTATAGTTTGGCTTTCATTTAAAACAAAAGTGGTGTTCTATGGGGGGAAAAGTCGGTGTTCAGCTCAAAACTCAGTCTGTGGCCGAGTACTTTAAATATATGCATAGAATGTTACCAAGACACGAGTTCAAAGATTGAAACCTAAGTTGTACTTCACAACTCTTTATTTTCTAAAGAGTGACATAGATTCCCATGGTGTCTGTGAGTCACATTTTTAGACTTGCTGGTATAAATTTTAATGTGAATTTGCCTCCTGAATTTGTGTACATAAAACCTCCACACTGTGCATTGATATTGTTTAGACTTTGTTGTAGTGAAATCAGATGTGTTATGCTGAGGAATTTTATGAAGAGATTTTTTTTACCGCCACAGTGTTGATGGGAATGTTTCTTTGGTACTGATTATTTATTTATTTAGTCTCTTCTACAAAGAGAAATACAGATCTTTCTGGTTTGTTCTCAGCCCCAATACTAGCCTTTGCTGTTCCTGGTACTCACAAAGTCATGGCTGGATAGTTCAGATAGCTGACTGTTTACCTCTGGGATAAAAGAAAGAATCACTACCTTTTGTGACTTAGAAAAAGAGCAATTAGATTCCCAGCAGTTCCTGCATTTCACTTTGCCTTTCAAATGATCAGCACTGGACCAGGCTTCTCTAAAACCTTGTATCTTAGATTCTCTGTCCAGAGTGAGTTTCTCCTTGACTGCCTTCCTGTGGACATCTCATTGTCACATGACCAGCCTGCTGCATCCTTTCCACTACTTGAGCCACTCCCTCTTCCAAAACTTTGTTGAAGTGTCTTCAGTAGTAAGCATGTTGGCGTTTCTTGTTTCTTCTGAATGAAAATCTTTTTTTTTTTTTCTGCTGTAGTTTTAGCAGTTTGAGGAGAATAAGGACAAAAACATGTGTGACGAGTTTAGGCCATTACTCATGTCACAGGCTTCAGTCAGTGAGGGGCCAAGCAAGACCTAGACTGACTTCTGCCAGGTTCTGTCGCTTGGACTTTGTGCCTCCTCCAGTTAGTCCTCACTTGTAATGTCTCACCTGTGGGTAAATGAAACTAAACTCCACTCCACAGTTCATGTGCTTCAAGACTGGTAGTTGCCAGGTGATGCTGAACAGCTCCTGGCAAACAGAGGTTTTTCAGTAGGCCTTCCTCATGCTTAACATGTGAATAAAATATTTCTTCAGTATAGCTGCTGTTTCATACTTGTGGCTTGGTGGGAGAAGAATTCTCATAATTCTTAAAGTTTGAATAAGAATTTCAAGTTTCTTTTCTAAGTGTCTGCATTTTATGTAAGGCTTGGGGTAACTTGCTACATATTCAGGCTTCAACTTGTTCTCTGCTTGAGTAACTATAGCCCATATTTGAAAAATTTGGTAAGGAACATAGGCATCTCACCATATGGTCCTTAGGGACCTGGAACTCAATAAGTAGACCAGGCTGGCCTTGAACTCACAGAGATCTGCCTGCCTCCGCCTCCGAGTGCTGGGATTAAAGGTGTGAGCCACTATATCCATCTGGGAAATAGTTCTTAGTAAAGTTGGATATTGCTTCTTGACTTTGATTCAAAACTTTTTGGTGTCCTGAAATTGTTATGGATTTGGGGGGGGGAAATGCCTACTACTCTACTGTACACATAAGATTGGAAAGTTCATTTTCTGTTTCTTTGGTGTATGAGCTTTTACACTTAAGTTCCTCCTATCCAGGACATTTAGTGGAATAAGAATAATACTTAAGTTTACCCGTGAATGTAAAAGTGTCATTGTTTCAGGAAACAACAAGACGTAATACAACTGAAGGAGAACCAGGAGCATCACATACTAGAAGGTAAGACTAAGGGAAAAGTAAGTCTCTTGGTCAAGTTCATTGAAATATATTAATACTTGGCCTAAATTATATTTCATTGACATCGGCAAAGTTATTTCAATTTTGTATATGATATTGCCTTAGTAATGACTTCTAATAAAATTTCAAACTCTTAAAACAAGATTTGTAGTTTTAAAATTTTTAAACATATCCAGTGATATTTTATAAATTTTAAGTTTCTTAAAATATTATAAGTATTGCCCCTGTTAAATGAAAACAGCTATAAGTTATTACAGAGTATGGGATTGGACATTAAATTTATGAAAAAAATTTTTGGAGGGGGAGGGTTTTTTGTTTTTGTTTGTTTGTTTGTTTTTGTTTTGTTGTTGTTTTTTTTTTTTTTTTTTTTTGAAACATGGTTTCTCGGCGTAGCCTTGGCTGCCCTGGACTCCCTTTGTAGATCAGCCTGGCCTCAGACTCAGAGATCTGCCTGCCTTTGCCTCCTTGAGTGTAATTTCTTATTTCTATCTTTATATTTTATAGTAGATTACTTGTTACTCTGTAGATAACACCTTCCACCAAGTAAAATATTAAGCCTTAACAGGATATTTTTTGGGCTTCCACTAGTAAAATAGTCTAGCCTCCTTTTACCTTTATCCTAGAGTTGTGAGCAAAAAGGTTGAACAAAATGTTGCCTAAGCACTTAGGAAAATAAATGTATCATCTGTACATTACTCAAATTTTTCTATAATATTTTGTCCAGTATGATCTGAACAAAATTAATTTTACATATTTGAAAGGAGGAAAAATGTGGGTTTTATCAATGACTAGTGAACATAAGAAAAGGAGCTCAGAATGGGTAATTGATGAGTTTAGTTAAGCTGGTGGGATGTAAAAGTCAGAATCATTCTGAGAGACTAATCTCATATGACTGAATTAACATATAGACAAAAATATCCTTCATGGTGGCAGTACAAATGAGCCATACATGGAGGCAAGCAAAACTTCACTAAGCTAGCTTTCATGGTGGATTATTTTTCAAGTGAACTTTTTCATTTAATTAATGTTTAGTTGAAAATCTCAGTGGGGCGTGGTTTGGAACAGGGTTGTCCCAAGATCACTCTAAATTCAGATCAATAGAGCAAAGTAAATTACAGAGAAATTCCTTTGTATACTCAGTGATCTCATCGTAGATGGATGGCACCTGAAATCCTCACTGGGGTAGCCAATTCAGCACACTGAGAAAGTGTCTAAATTCTGGAAAGATTAATTACTATGAATAGGAATATGTAGTGATTTATTTTTGGTAAAGAAGTCATCCTTAGATCTAGATAAGTGGCTGGAAATCTTACAAAGCCGTGTCTGCCATTTTATGATTCATTTAATCCAGTTTGCACACCAAGGTCAGAGAAATGTTTATATATACACCTAAATATGTGTGTAGATAAACATGTACCCATACGTGTGTGCATTCTTTGCATATGTTTTCAAGTGTATGAGTTTAAAAATCAGGGAAATGTTTGTGAATGCTGATTTGATTTTATATGGGAAAGAGACCTAAGCATAGAGTATATAGAACATAAAAGAAATTAAACTTTTTCATAGATTGATTATGTTAGGAACTTTTATGTACTATTAGGGACAGACACAGGCATAGCTTTGGGCAGACAACAAAGGCAGCTGGTAGGCATTCAGGTTTTTAGGTTCCTTTTTATTTGTGGCTCCGGCAATTGTTACACTTTTGCCTAAGCCCTCTGGCAAGTCATAAGAGAATAGGCAGGGCTCAGGGGCTTGTATCTGTTTGAGTAGGCAAGTCTCTTCAACTTGTTTTACCTCTTTGAGTATGTCTGTCTTTTTTGTGGCTCTGCGTTATTTTATGAGTGGATAACGAGTGGTTTTGTTTTTCAGTAAGCAGGATAGAGCTCCTTCGTCAGAAGACAGCAGTGGGCGTGATGCAGGTGTATGTGAGGCTGCAGGAGCAGCAGCCTGCGACGGAGACGCAGCAGCTGCAGAATCAGAAGAGGAAAGCGCAGACAACACCCTGAGTCGGGAGTCAGATATTGGAGCAGAGAATGTGGCGGAGAAAGAACACACACAGCACATCTGTCAGGGGATGGAGCTGCAGGCGGACCAGAGTTCAGAAAGCACAGATCCGTGTGCTCAGAGTAAAGAGCACAACCCCAGTGAAACTTCAGAGACATCAGGGATTATTGGCATTGATCAGTTTCTGAGGCAAAGAGATGAACCTGAATCTGTGAGTTCTGATGCGAGTGAGCAAGGCAGTGTTCGTTTGGAACCTTTGACACCATCAGAGGTACTAGAGTACGAAGCCACAGAAATCCTTCATAAAGCTGATGATCCATCAGCCAACAACAATGACACAGTGTCCGATCAAACAGGTGGCAGTCATGGAGGAAGTAGCGCTAGCAGAGCGGAGGCAGCAGTAGACCTGACAGATGGAAAGGAAAGAAGCTGAAGTGATGTAGTCATTCCAAGTCTAGTTCCCAACAGAGAGCACCTAGACCAGTGCTGCCCGGTGAGCTCAGCAGTGCCGCGGGAGGGATCAGCAGTGGGAGACTGAGGAGGTTCTTCATATGCTTCGCCTGTGTGTTCAATCTTAGTAAGCCAGGTTGCCAGTCATAGCATGGTTAGTATGAATTTGCAAGTTTTTAAAAACCAGAACAGAACTTTAGCAAAAACTAAGTTTGCCATCCAAAGGTCTCTTAGCACTTTTTGATGAAATCTCATTCAGTGATAAGAAAGTAAATATTAGCTATGTTAATCAGACTTGTCAAACTTTCATTAGTCCAAAACTTAAATCCCTTATCACCTGTATGTATATTCCTTTTAGTAAATTTAAAGGAAAAGATTTGAAACCATATGTTTTTTTAAAATGCCTATAAACTTGGTCTAATTTAAATCTTTTTTTTTTAAAAAAAAAAAAGGCGGGGTCATTGTCTGCTCTTCCAGAGGTGTTAAGTTCAATTCCCAGCAACCCCATGGTGGCTCACAACCATCAATCCTGGGATCTGATACCCTCTTCTGGCACACAGGTGTACATGCAGATAGAGCACTCATTAAATAAAGAAATCTTTTAAAACAAAATACTTGTAAACTGCCAATTAATTGTTAATATCAGTGAAGGCTTTATTTTTAACATGATCCTGGTAATGAAGCATGCTTAGAGTGCTAAATTGACCTGTTGAGAATTTGGATGAACATAAACTTAAGTTTGGATTTAATATAACATTCCAGTCTGTCAGAAGCATGCAAACAGAATTTTAGAATCTGTGCACCTCCACACAAGTGTTAGCCTGCCAGGCTGTCAGCTTACCTTTATTAAACTTTCAGTGAAAGTGAGATTATGAAAATATAAGTTTATATTTGTGCTTTTAGTTAGTGTATAAGCTGTGTAGAACTGCCCCGCCCCATGGACTAGTTGTATAAAGTAGAAATCTGTTACTGAAACTCTTATAGCTACTGTGCTTTTAATATTATTTCAATGATCTTTAGCAGTAGACCCACAAAAATGGTCTGGAAGCCAAACCAAAGTATGGTAGAATGTAGGTGAAAATCATTGAACTGAAAACATGCCTCAGCATGTATTCAACCATGTTTAAGGGACTTTCCTTAATTGTAAAAGTAGAAACTTCAAATGGGACCCTAAAAGCAGAGGTTTAAAAAAAAATGGTTGTGGAAATTAGGCTAATTTATCCCTAAGTCAGCTACTAAATTGATTTTTCAGATATAGAAATGAATATAACAAACAATAATTTGCTTTGAAGTACTAATAAAAATTTATTTTAAATGCTGTATTTTTAATTCTTAAAATGTGCTTTGAATTCTTAAACTGTTTCACTGAATGTTAAATGTTTTCAACGCCTGTTAAAATTCTATTGTATATAGTAGTTTTTGAGTAAATAAAAACCTGTCTTTGAATAATTTTATTTCGGATCCCTGCTTGGTCAGCCTGTCTTTGCTGTTGTGCCTCCCATGCAGTAGCTCTGTGCAGCAGGCTCCATTCTATGGGCTTTACTGACGGAAGACTGAAAAACTGAAAGCGCAAGGACGCACAGCATTACAGAGAGTACTTCTTTTGCATCAAGAAAAATGACAGTATTGTACTTTTTTTTATCAACCTAAAGAGGTTAAAAAGAGGTTAAATAGAAAAAGTAATAGAATTGTTTTCTTGAGTGTTTGAGAAGAGCTGCGTTTTTCATCCTTTCTACTTCTAAGACAAGTTGAATCTACCACAGGAAACTATTTAGGGATTTTATAAACCTTTAGAAGTGCCAGGGCAGAGAAAAAAGTTTATCTATATGAGGAACACTTTCTGAGTATTATTCGGTTTCTTAAGAAGCCTGTTTTCCTATGCTATAAAACTTAATAAGTCTCCAAGTTACTGAATTCCATGAACTCTGTAGAGTTTGCGCCTCTGTCCCATATCCTCTTAGAGTAGTGGTATTCAAAGTCACTGACCATTGAGCTGCTGCGCAGGCCCTGCGTGCGAAGGAATCGGTACTGGGCTCTTAGTTGCTTTTCCAAGAAAGTAAACGCAGCAGGGAAGGGAGGACAAGGAAAAAACCTTGTACTTGATAATCCAAGTGCTATACATTCTCATACAGTCTGTGTACCTCCTCCCCAGTCAGGATACACAAAACCAGCTTTTGAATAGTAGTGAGCAGTCAAGAAGCAAACTTACATCCACAGTAAATATTGAGGCCTATGCAGTTAATAGCATGAAAACAGCACTACAGAATACGTAAATACTGAGCCTGTTTGTGATCCGGGCAAATCTGTGTAGCTATTTACAAAGCAAGATGCTGGGTCGATGTGTGCCCTAAGTTTACATATACCTACTTTGAGTTTGGGTAAAAAACTAGCATATGTACCCAAGTGACCTTACCTCAGAAGATCCAAGTTGCCTTGTAGGTACAGCACGGTAATGACACTAAGAAGGGTCACATTGTTGTGTGGGATCTTCTTTTTAATTTATATTGAAGCTGAGTACCTTTCCTCTTGTGCTATTTCTTCCTCTTTGCATCCTTTCAGTGTTTAATTTATATTGAAGCTGAGCACCTTTTCTCTTTGCATCCTTCCAGTGTTTTAAGGAAGACCTCTTCACCCTATACATTTCTTTAAAAATTTACTTATTGGGTGCATGATGTAGGATTGGGAGGGGGGGCATGTGATGGTGGGTGTGTAGAGGTTAGGGAAACTCTGGAGTAAATTCTCTCTGCCTTTATGTGGGTTCTGGAGATAAACTCCGTTCACCAGGCTTATGCAGCAAGTCCCTTTACTCGCTGAACCTGCTCTCCAGTTCTCATCCCGTCAATATTTAGATAATTATTCTAAACGTTTGTTAAACTGATGATATATATGAAGAAACCAATACCCCAGGCAGCTACATAGAGTTACAATGCCAGTACTTGGACCTAAATTTACCATGTTCTAAAGCTGGTGTTTCCATCACACCTACAGTGTGTAGCACTAAATATTCCTCAACTCCTAGGATGCTGAGACAGCATGATCGAGTTTCAGGCCAACCTAACTCCACAGTGAGACTCTGTCTTCAACGTCAGCAGCAAGTCTTAAAATAAAAGACTCTTGCTGTTTCCTCCTGTAAATAGCAATCGAGGACTTTACCTCTAGAGGAGAGGCTAGCATATAATTTTATGTTTAGATAAAAGCATGTAATTTAAAGATATGTTTTCCATAATGTTGAAATCTTAACATTGCACTATTATAGCCATGTGGTTAACGTGATTGTTTCATGATTATTGCATATGGGGCTGCATATGTAAAGCACCTGCTGCACACGGATGAGGACCGAAGCACAAATTTCCAACACCTACATAAATGTAGGCTGGGTGTGGCAGCAGCCTGTGGGCCCAGCGCTCAACATGTGACAGAGATGGGATCCCCAAAATGAGCAAGCTCTGGGCGCAGTTGAGCTCTGGCCTCCCACATCTGTATACAACAGACAAACATGCATGCTTGCCCTCACACCACACACACCTGTTCCTTCAAGACCATCCACTTTTATTAACTACAGAACAGGCTTCTGTGTGTTACAGGCTTTAAAGGAGGATTACAGGGGACTGGAGAGATGTCTCGGAGGCTAGGAGCACTGGCTGCTCTTCTAGAGGTCCACATGGTTCCCATTCCCAGCACCCACATGTCAGCTCACAATCATCTGTAATGAGATCTGGTTGCCCTCTTCTGGCATGCAGGCAGAACGTTTTATACATAATTTAAAAATAAATCTTTAAAAGGGGGTTTACAAACATCTGTCTTTACTCGATTATTAAAATGCCATGTGCCTTTTCAGCTAAAAACTGAAACGCCCATTTCTAAAGGCTAGAAAAAATGATTGGTGTGTGTGTGTGTGTGTGTGTGTGTGTGTGTGTGTGTGTGTGTATCAGTAACCTCAGATGCCAGAAGAGGGGTATCGGATCCATAAATTGGGAATTTGTGGTGTTGAGCTTCATGATTTGGGTGCTAGGAATCACACTGGGTCCTCTGAAATCGTTGGACATGCAACACACATTTATTGCTTTGGAGGAAGAGGCTTCTGTTTAGTATTTTGACCTGTGAATCATGTAAGGCCTGTCTTTATATAAATGAATGGGGGAAGAAAATCAGAACGCTTGCCTCACCAGCTCACTTGAATTGATGTGTGGGCATTTGGTTTTGACAGTTACTCAGGTGTACTCCTTCATCTCTCTGAGATAATGAACCAGACACAGTGAAGCAATAATCTTTTGACAATGACACATTATTCTTTTGGGTAGCAATGGCTTACACCCTCTGCAAGCTCAGCTCAATCTCAGCTGTGTGAGTGGCATTCAAAATACGTTCAGGTGGAGGCTAAGAAATGGCTTGCTTTATGGTGGAGCACATATACTGCTCTTGCAGAGGACCTGACTTCTGTTTCTATCATCCTTGTTGGGTGGTTTACTATTGCCTGTAACTCCAGCTCCAAGGGATCCCGTGCCTCTGATCTCCAAGAGCTTTCACATTCATGTATATGCACACACACACAATTTGTAATTTTTTTCTTTTTGAGACAGGGTTTCTCTGTGTAGCCTTGACTGTCCTGGACTCACTTTGTAGACCAGGCTGGCCTTGAACTCACAGCGATCCGCCTGCCTCTGCCTGTGCTAGAATTACAGCCATGCGCCACCACACCCAGCCTAAAATTTGTAATTTTTTTAAAAATATTTTACAAAATTTTAAGGTGAAACCATAGAACAGGGTAGTAAGCATTTTAAGGCGAGCAATGGAAATAGCGCTTTGTGGGTTTACAGTGTTGTGCAGCCCTTTCTCTGGTCCCCAAACCTTTCTAGCCAAAGTAAACCATCATCTTGCCAGCTAAGCAGCTTTTCCCCATGGCCCACATCCCTGAATCTCAGAAACCACCAGCATCCATGCTATGGAGTTCTTTTCTAATCCGGGTATTTGCATATTAGAACTGCACACGGATTGACATTTAGGGTCATTAGGCTACATCTGCAGCCCTCAAACACAAATAACTGGAAAGATAGCCTGGGTCTGCCAATTGTTAAGAGTTAATGCTGTCAAAACCTTCATGCTCTCAAAACAAGCATATTTAGTAAAATCCCTAGCCAAACTCCAGTGGCACTAAGAAAACAAAAACAGCATTTAGAAATCTATAGAAAGAAATGTCTCTGGATAGCCAAGGCAGCTTTGGGCGAGAACAAAGCTGGAAACATTATACTTCCTAATTCTAGAAAATACTCCAGAGCTACAGCAAAAGTAAACCTGCAGGTCAAAGGAACAGAGAACGCAAAAGAAAACATGCACACATGCAGTCAAATGGCCTTCCCCAAAGGGTACAAAGAATACCCAACAGGGAAAAGATTGTCTCTTCAGTAAACCGTGCTTGGAAAGTTGGATATCCGCGCTGGAGTCTTGGGATTGGACCAGCCTCACTAAGCGCAAGCCCTGCACCTAACTGATGAACTATAGGCGGTCGGTGGCCTCTGTGAGAGGTCGGTCTTCTTTAAGGGTGTAGGCTCTAGTAGGTCACCCACTCTCCACTGGGTGGCCTCACAACCAAAAACGTGGACAGCGTCAGTCGGAGTTAATGGGTTTTAAGTTTTTAAATGACACAAAGTTATTTAAACTTTGTGTGTGTGGGGGGGGAGTGGAAGGGAGATGTCAGAGGTGGCTATTATTAAAACATTGTAAGAAACTCTCAGGGAATTAATAAAATAGTCAAACAAATGAATGCAAGATCTGAAACTAGTAAAGTTGACTATTGTAAGGCAAAGCATGTCTTGACATTGTTTTTGATAGTGATTTCTTCTTGGGGGGGTATGATACCAAAAACACAGACAACAAAATAAAAGCACCCAAGTGAAATGACATCAGACTAAAAATTAATATAGCACAAGTAACAGTGAAATGAAAAGGAGACAAGACAATTGTAGCCAAAAAGTTGGTGCAACTCAATAGTGAGACATTAATGCTATGACTGAAAATTAAAATATTTTCATTTTATTATTTTATATGTATAGATATTTTTGAATGTACATCTACGTACCACGTAGATGCTGGGCCAACTAAAGTCAGAAGAGAGAGCTGGATCTCCTGGAACTGGGATTAGAGACGGTTGTGAGCTGCCATGTGGGTGCTGGGAATCGAACCCAAGTCCTCTGGAAGAGCAGCCAGGGCTCTTAACTGCTGACCCAACTCTCCAGCCCTGGTGACCAAAAATTATGCAACAGAACTGAGTAGACATTTTGTCAACGAAGACATGGATGATCAACAGATAAATGAAAAGGTACTCAGTGTCACCAACTGTGAGAGCTTATCAGCTGGAAACAATCTAGAATCGCCTGTGCGGGGAGCCAGTAACAGATTGTCTAGACTGGCCTGGCTTGGGAGCATTCTGTGTGGGATGGTCTTGAACAGTTGGAAGACTCTCCCACTGT